GGAATGGCATACAGAGATTCATTAAGTTTTAGAGAGACAGCCCAAAATAGCTGAAAGAATGTTGAGTTCACACTATAAGTAAATGCAGAGAATGTGCCTTATAAGATTCTTTATGAAGTTTTAATTTTGTGGAATTGCCTACCACCACATCAGCCATATTTCCTGTTATTTTTGCGAAGAATAGTTTTTTCCATCCCACGTCCTTCAGTGATGAATTGTCTAGAGAAAAACATATGTGCGGATTTCTTGGGATCAAGAAACTCTTAATGATGTGTCTGAAATTATTTGTGTTTTTAGATAACTAGGATTGGTTTGGATCAGGCCTAAATAGCCAATGAACAATCTGCAAATATAGTCCTTTCCTTTCAGGCCTTACTTATGGATGTCAAAGCCCTCTTGCATGATACGTACGGTTACCCTGCCTCCTCCTCTGACTGTTCATTGTGCTGACGGGTAGTAACAGATGCTTGGTTTCTCCATAGGCTTACCATCAATGCTGAGTGCCAGCTGCAGCTGCACAATTTCCCAATGGACGAACACTCATGTCCACTGATATTCTCTAGCTGTAAGTACTGCTTTGATGCCTTATTGCTGTATATGACTAGTATGCAGAGGTACGAGTTCAATTCTGATTTCTGTCAGCTTGTTTCAACCATTCCACAACAGGTATAGGAAGTTTAGGTTTGCTTAAATATTCAGGGGATTTTTGTTTTCCTCTCTAGCACTCCTGGTCGATGGACTTATGCCATGAAGTTTTCTGTAGATTTAGTCTGATATTTTTGCCAGAACCAGCCTTTTCAGTTGATACTATAGTCACACTTTCATTTTTTCATGCCAGTCTGTGCTATGTTAATCTATGCAATCATGTGACATGCAAATGAGAATAGAAATTGCAGTTTTCTTGTAGAGGTGCACAGCTTGGGGACAAGCCCAGCCATCTCTGAACATCTGAGTTTATAGCAAGTAGCATGGTAATGCCTCTCTGTTCCATAATAAAAGTAAATGGTGTGACTACTGTAAATCTCATTTTCCTTTTATAGCTCAGCTTGTCCAGTAGTCCCAATGTTGTATTGTATGTAGTGTTGTTGATAAATTTAAAACCTACCTAATAGGCAAAACAAATACATTGGTGAAATGGATGGAAAACAAAAGTCAGGTGAGTTAACCTTGAGGTCCAATATTACTGTGAGGAAAAGTTATCTTCATGCTGATTCATTTGAAAAAGCTTGAGAGCTGTCTGCTCACAGGTACACCTGCACAGTTTTGTAATCCAAAGTCGCACAATGCAAATGTTTTGCAAACATTTTTTAAAGGGCTCCACTAAAGATTTTTCTTCTGATAAACTCCAAGACTCGGGATCTGTGCTCTCCAAAAGTCAATGGGAAATGTATTGTTTTGTCTTTCTATGTAGAAAATAGCATTTTCTCCATCACCTCTTAAAAAGCGATAGAAGAACAATACTATTTAATGTCTTCATAATAGATATGCTGTTGTGATAGTAGGGTATTGATTTCCATTTATGAATACTATACAAACAGTGATCCTCAGTCAGAAACTGGATTTTAATTTCAGCTGATCCAGGGTGTATTCTTCTTTTTTCCCAGGAAAGTGTTTTAAAAAAATCTGCCAGTGTAAACATCTCCCTTTCCCCAAAAAATTTATCACTGCATTGCTGTTTTTTTATGATCTATGTACATAATTGAGCCTGGGCAAAAATACACACTGGTGTGTTTAATTCAGATGTGTGGAATATGTGCATACTCAACTGAACAGGAGGCATATACCTCCTGAATGAGCTTTACTGCTAATGAACACTTGTCACTGAACTATAAGCACCTCAGCTATCTTTAGTCACTGCATAAAGCTACTCTTACCTTGTGGCAATCTGCTGTTGATTTGTTGAGGTACTGGGAAAGGAGCGTGTGATGTTAAAAATTAAATCCCAGTCCAGAGATACTAATTAAACCTACCACATAAATTTGATAGGTCCTGCGCTAGCAATATCCAAAGAAGGGGAACTGTAATAGACAGGGAAGTCGCTTCAAACCTTACATTCCCTAATAGCTAGACAGTTGCTGAATGCAAGTAATTTATGCTCGGGGTTTCTTTTATTTAAAGAGAGAGGATATCAGTGTGAACCTCAGAAGGCTCCACTCCATGGCAGAGTTTCAAATACATCTTGATTTGCAGAAGTTCCTCCTAATTTAGATCTATTAGCTTGGAGCCCTTCTGTCCTTGAAAACATACACGCATTACCATCATACATGTATTACCCTCTATGGAGATGGAGGTTACATAGGATCAAGCAGAAGCTGAATGTGTGCGTTCTTTATAGTTTCTTGCCAGATGGAAAAACCCACGAAGGAATATTAAAATAATGTTTTATAGTTTTGTCAACAGTTTTGGTCATGTTGATAACAAGAGTTTATTTCTTTAGGTTCATACTCAATTATGTTCTTTTCCTTGAACACTTTTAGCACTACTATTATCATAGTAGTAGGACATCTCCTATGTGACTTGTTTATTTCATAACTGGGTTGTATTTTCAGTGTTGCTTACATTCATAGCAATCCCAAGATACATGGCACTCAGTGGGACTTATGAAGTGAATGACTGACTGAATGCCTGAATGATTTATTACTGTCTGCTATGACAAGTTTCTGAGGGGACACGCTGATTACGGATTCCAAGATGTATGTCTTTGAATAAAATAAAAATGGTTGTAGAATTCACAGCACAGCACCGCTTCCCTCTGCATCCCTTTTGTTTGTTCCCCAGCACACAGACAAATCTGCACAGTTTCCACGGTAGGCAAGCACAAGAAAGCACAAGTTTCAGACAATATTCCCTGCATCTCTACACACACATGAACAAGGTTAATATTTGAAATTTCTTACCTTTTATATAAATGTCCCTTGATATTTCAGAAACGTGAAACTAATCTCAAATTGTTTCTAGAGTATTTTCCTCTCGTGCCACCTAATTCACACCCTAACGCTGTTCTTGCTCTGGGGACAGTTGCTATTCCTTAGGTGGGAATACTGAGCTCTACTTGGTCCAGTTGCCAGGATGAATAAGGAGAAAACAGCTTGTAAACAAAAGACGCATCTCAGTGTGCGAACAGTGGTTACTAAATCTACCTACCCCTTCCTGTTGAAAATTTTGTTCAAGAACAGTTCCTGGAGCTCTCTAGTCTCTTTGCTTATAGGAATTAGAAAGTATTGAAATAAGTTGAAACCTTTTTACTCTCTGTGCGAGTTTTGTATGTGCTTCAGGTGACATGATGAGGTGAATCATCTGGCATATTAGGGCACGTGGTAGGTGTGTGCCTGTTGTTGCAGTCCTTACGTAGATATGCGCTTAGCACACTGCTTATGTGAAAAGTTGAGCCCAATGGCATAATGCAGAGCTGCTATGGGATGCAACAGCTCTTTCCCACTCTGTGTACCAGATTGGTTTGATCAACCACATTTGGCAAGCAGGATTCCTTAATACAGAGATGCTACAACACTGGCATCAATGCCAAGGCATGGTACGAATGTGTGTTTCCCTGTGAATGGAAAGAATCAATGCTGTGACGATCCCGGTGTAGCAATCTTTGATAGATTTTGCTCTATATGATCTCATTTTCTTCAAATGGTTTTAAAGTACTATATGCTACTACATAAAAATATTCTGTCAGTGTTGTTCTTCATTTGGGTTAATTTATCCTCCTGAGCCACGGGAGGCTGCTGTGCTACTTTTGGTACTCAAGTAGCATGTTAAACTGACTTGGTTATCTCTGTTCAGCACTGATTTGAGCATTGTGGAAATAACAATTTCAGGATTCTGCCATAAAATTTGGTTTATTGAGGTAGTTAGGATTCACATAAACATCAGTAAGGAAGAAGAGGTATTCTGTCTGAAGGACGATGTCAGCACTAAGAATAAACAAATAAGACACGGGCAGCAAAATGCAGGCTGGAAGTGAGAAGTTAAGTGCAATTAACTGTGGCACTCCTACCATAGGACACTGTGGGTTCTAAAGTTTTATAAGGATTCAAAAGTGTTTGGAGAAATCATTGGAAGAAAAATGCATCGGTAGCTATTAAGCATAACGAGATCACTCTGTACTAATGGCCGCTATTTTTTTTATTCTGAGGGAGTGAGAGTATTTCACATTAAATAGTAGGCAAAAGTGGCTGTGTGGCTAAGCTACTTGAAGGAACTCTTTTCCACTAGACTTGCTATGTGGCTGGTTTCCAGCTTGCCTACGTGGTTTTGGTTTTGATTTGTCAGCCACTGGTGAGACTGTTGAATGTTTTCAATTTTCTTAATTTGGAAAGACTAGGCACACTGCAGAATAATGTGAACGTGTTTGCACCCATGCCTGCACAACAGTTAATTGTTCAAGGTGTTCATTTTTCAGCCCAGAAACAAACCTTCACCTCCTCTCCCTATCCATGTGCTCAAGATTAATTTAAATTCATGACACTCCTTCAGGTGATCGCATATGACAGCCATACCAAAATGAAGCTGACACCTTGTTTAGAGCATCTGGTCAACTAACTTATTAATTATGTACAAGGAGCTTTATGGTAGGAATCTGTGCTAGCTGCATACCTGAGATCTGAACCAATCTGTAAGGCCATGCTTCAGGCTCTACCAGATGCAGTAATAATGAGCTGCAGTGCAAGATGCCAGAATAAAAACAATGACTGAATTGATTAATGGGTTTTCATTGCTTTAGTTTTCTTGCTGCTGTTCTGATTAAACTGCAGGCACTGTTGTTCATCTTAAAAAGCACCTTCGATTTAGGCAATAGAAATGTTGACATTTTTTGTAGCCAGTTACTTATCTTTTCCATAGTGAGAAGGTCTACAGTGCCCAAGTTGCCCATTACTGGAGGATTGCTGCAAGGCAGGAAAAGGTGGGCATGCTCGGAATGCCATTCCTACTGCAAACACTAAAATGTACACACAAAGGTCCATGAGCAATTCAAGTGTTTTCAGTTCAGTTGAAAATAGGGGAAAGCAAAATTTCCAGCCATTGATTGTCCAGTTTGCTCAGCCAGGTCTTAAAACATGTACTTTAGCCTTCTAAAAGTTCAATTTTTTTTTTAAGTGTTGTACAAAAGCATGCAAGGTGTTGCAGAAAAAAAGTAAGGAAATGTGAAATGCATTTAAAAAAAATTAATCCAAATCTAACATAGTGCTTGAAAGAAACAGATCCCGTCTTTCTAAATATAAACTCAGTTCAATCAAATGTTACCCCTTTGAACATGAAACCTCTTATGGATACGCAATCAGTACTTTGAGCCTCGTATCATTACTTTTCTAACAGAACTAGCTGTCATTGCCAATTTTAATATGTTTCTCCTAGCCTAGAAAAGTAAATGCTGGTTTTGTGGAATGAGCTGTGCTTTGTTTCATCTCATGTATCATCAGCAGAATCATTAATAAAGTCTGAGGGCAGAATTTTACTCCTGATGAAGAACAGGCCAGAAGGAACAGAGCTTAATGTTCATATCTCAAGAGGAGTTTCATTAAAGATGCTGGGAAGGCATTGCAATGTGCAGAAAAAGCT